GTATATAACTGTATAGGCATCAATGTGATGGATGTGCCTATGTTCCGAATTATACAGTTGAGTAACATGTTGAGAATTTTATTTGTTTTGACATGGCAAGCCCCATATGTTAGGAAGTTGAAATAATCACTGGTTCGCCATATGCTTGATATAATGTATGAGGAAAACTTGAAAAAAAAAAAAAGATGCAAACAATTGTGGTTCGACAAATGAATATTTATTTTAAAAATTGGTAAATCTCAGAAAATGTTATGGAATGTAATATAGAATTAAAGATATATAGATAAATTTACCATGGTTTTTTCTGGTTGTTTAACATACTCTGCAGCTTTCATTCCATAACTTATAAAGTATTTGCTTTATCCACAGATATGCAAGCTTTGTTCACCAATTACGAGGACAAGGAGAACATGATATGTGTTCGACTTGGCTTCCTCATCAACTCGTATCATGAGCTTGTCCAATCAGTCATTCCTGTTGGTCAGTCAATCGAAGCTCTTCTGAAGTCATTGATACATACTTACACTACTTTGAAACAGCTGTGCAAATATGTAAGTCAATGATAATATTAAATAATATAAATTATAGTAAAAAACGTATGTAGTAATAGAAATTTTTTTTATATGCAAAATAAATAAATAAAAAAAAAAAAAACTGGTGGTGATGAAAATGCTGCTGTTTGAAAAAAAATCTCATCTTTTGTACAACATTTTTGCAGGCAAACAAAAACTTTTTTCTAACATAAGTGATGCGTTTTCACACTTATCAATTTTCATTGTATGCAACTGTTAATCAGAAACACTTTTACATCAGATGGTCCAAAGGTTATTAACTATGTGACATATTATGTCATGACCCATCTGATGAATTGAAAAGAAATCAGCATATTAATTTGCAAGAGTTACTGGGAATTAATATACAGCAGTTAACATTTTGACTCTGAAAGTGTGTGTTCTAAAATGAACTTACACCTTATTCACGCATACATAAACTGTAGATATTGATAATATAATCAAGTTCACGCCCGCACTTGAGAAACAAAGTGAAATCTTGTGAGAAAAGCATGATTGAGTAAACTATTCATACAGTGATTAATTAATCCATACTGAAAAAAATTTATTTTTTGGAAGATAAGCCTTTAAGTTTAGTAAACCTCAATGTTGCAAGCAATAATCAAAAAGTTGTAAAGTAAAGGAGAATAACCCATAACTCACAGCGTCATCATTGTGCTGAATCGGTCTGTGACTAACCAGCCACCGCACAGAGGCGGTGCTTATAGTTTCCACATCATTCAACCTCCGAAAGATGAAATGGGTTCTCTAAAGTGCATGCAAGCCAGATGTGTTACACATGTACAGTACACTAGACCTCCATTGCAAGTCATCCTAAAAGATGACCCTGGCTGAGGAGTGGCTCAAACCAGTGCTGATATTAAGGCTGTAGTTAGTGGCGCCCCTGCATTACATCTCAGCCACTCAATTCACTGATGCTAAATTTCTAAAGTCATGTTAGAAATCTCTACAAAGTTCGAAATTTCAACATTGACCAATAGTTTTTCTTTTCATTATATCATAAAGGGGTCCACCAATAAGTTTGTTATAAGAAATTATAAAAATTCAGTGGCATAAATCTTCAAATTCTCAACAACAGTGATTAATTAATCTCCTTTTAATTTGATTGGTTAATTCTTAGATTTTTGTATAAAGATATTCCTAAAGATAAACAAATATAATTAAAATATTGACTCAGGATAGATTGCATCACTTTTTCCAGAGTTTGTTGTATATGCTCTAATGCTCTGTACAGATTATCAAAGTTTATTTCACAAAAACATGTGACATGCCTAAATATGGTCATGATGACATCATATCATGACCATATATAGGCACATCATTACTATATATGGGCATACAACAGTTTTTTTTATTTGATAGTCTGAACAGAGCTTATCTATATCTTTTTCTAATAAAATTTTACAAATTAACAATTTTCCAGAAGTAAACACAGTTAGTTAACATAACTTTTCTCATTAACTTACACCATAGCAATATTATATCCACTAAATCACTTCAAGAATTAAAATGTGCAAACATATTATAACACACATTAATTTAGGATTTTAATTTTAAAATATTTGGATATTTTAATGATATGGTGTAGTGTTGTATATTGCATTACATTAAAGTTTATTACATTAATATTATGTTACTAATTCATTAAAAGACTTGTCTGTTTCATTAAAGAAAGAAATTACTTGGGATTTTTGTGATATGAGAAATGAAATGAAATGTTTTAAAGTTAATTTAAAACTATCTTTATCTATTTCTCAACAGTATTTGAGTGTTTATGAAAAGGAGAATGGACACTTTTGTGACAAGTTCCCAAAGTTGATCAAACTGTCAGGAACCCACCTGACTCAACAGGTGTATGCTTTGATCACCTACATACAGGTAATGTATATACCCAAATGCATGTTTTTTTTGTATACATTTACTACTGTAGTACCAATGGTCTCATTGACAGTGGTGTATTTAGAGGGGTACACTTCACCTTCATGTCCCCATCAAAGGGGGTTCCCCCCCCCCCATTTTAAGATTCTTATGTACGCACTGCTCATTGAGATGGGTATCACCATTCACAGCAAAATACAATTAAAAAATCTCATTTACCAAATCTCCTGGAAGTCACTTCTCCCATCTTGGGACCCCTGTAATAATGGAATAATCATTACAGTGTTCTCCTGATTGAAACATCTATACTGGAAAATTTGCCCATAAAAGTTCAGCTATGCACACAGTGTGAAGCATTAACCCTTTTGAGTGGGGTTTAATGACTTGAAAAAAACAACAACACATACACTCATAGCCTAGACACAGACTGCAATGATGTCATTTATTGAAAAAAGGCCAGCCTAGACCTAATCAGTGTTTTTTTAAGAATTTTACAAACTTTTTACTGGTTGGCCGATAATTTTGACCGGTAAAAGTAACGGCTAAAACGGCTTCGGGAGAACATCTTGCGTCATTGTGCTAAATTGCGTATGGGTGTGTCAATGACTACCTAGCCACATTGACAGACTGGAATGAACCCTATAGTATCTGGGTAACCCCCTGTTCTTCCGAAAGTTGCAATGTGTTCATTAAAGTGCGCATGAGAAAGATGTGTACACTGAAGCTCCACTTTTTTAAAGTTTTTAAAGTACCCATGAGGAAGGCACTTTATCTCGAGGTGGTGCCAGGGCGTACCATGGCCCAGCAATCAGGGAGCCACAGTAAAATCTGTCGGGGGTTGGGGCGGAACTGAAACATGAGGCTGAGGTGGGTCTGGACTCGGGGCCTATCTGTTGGGGAAAAGCTGGCAGCACCACTATGTTGATTCTTGAAACCCAAAAGTATAAGTGGGTACCTGGTAGGTTTGAATGTCATTGCAACCTTTTGGAATACTTCCCTAAGGGAGATGATGTGCAGAGAGTATAAAATATCCAATCCAATCTTCAAATTATAAGGCACATTATACTAGTCCAATGCGCCAATTTGAAGGAGTGCTGAGGGGGGAAAAAAGGGACAAAAGGAGAAAAGGGTAGGAAGAGGTCCGAGTGGCTGGGTTTCCTGAAATGAATTCCTATTTGAAAATTACTACCACAAACTAGAGGGCATCATTCAAAAAAGAAAATATACATGTAAAAGTTATTTGCATCGAATGCTGCGTGTACAGAAGCCTGTTCAACTTCTTATAGGGCGATCTCTTGTGGTAGTACATGTTTCGACGGCTCAACCATCATCATCAAGTGTAATCACAAAACTTATATTTCCTCTATATAAGCTTAGTGTTAAGTAGTTGTGATTAAACTTGATGATGATGGTTGAGCCGTCAAAACATGTCGTGTGGTATAAATTGATTATTTTTATTAAATGCATTGCTGCATTTGTATTACTTTGTTTTTCGTTTCATTGCTTGCATGCAAAATCTGTTATATAGGTGTTTGATTCAATAACTGGGGTTCTAATGTGAAGTACACCAAGCATTGGGGTGGGGGAAAACTTTGGGGAGACAACTTCGGTGAGAACTCAGGTTTTCCTGTACACCAGATTTTTGTGGTGGATTGTCCTACTTTATCTAATGTTGGGGTCCTGAACACTCTGAAACTGAAGCTCTTATTTAAATGATTTCATATTTAAAGTTAGAATTTTTAGTTTCTGCCAAGGGCAAGTTCCTCCTTTCATCCCCCTATATTCACTGGAGTTTTTTTTTTACCATTTACACTGTATGTGTCTAACAGCAGAGTAACACCAGTGTTGTGACGTACTGTAGTGTAAAAAGAGTATTTTTGGTTGGGTTTTTCTAAAATACCTTTCATTTATGTGCACAGGTCCAATAAAGAACAAACTAAATCTGTCCATTTTTAGTAAAATAAAGTTGATTATGAATATAGAAATGACTAAACTTTTGAGTATTTATGGCTGGAGTGGAGACCATAAATAAAATCATGTATTAAACAACAGACCAATGATATTCGAAATATGAAGCTCCATGGTTTGGTACATTGTGATTTATTAGTGCATAGATTATGTTGGCATTCTTCATTAACTAGAATTAGTTTTTACATTTGTAACAACATTCTCATAACAGTTTTCACAATTATAAATCGGGGTTCATACACCTTTAAGTCACAAAAATTTCCATACACTTAAATCTATATTGCAAAAATGTTAATGAACAAAATAACGAAACCACATGGGCAAACATATTTTATGATTTTTCCATGACTTTTAAGGTAAGGAACACAAAAATGAGTTTCTATAACTTTCTATGACACTTCAAAATGTGTACAAACCCTATATCATGTGTACAGTATCATTAAGTTACGTCATCTGATATTTACCATCAACATAACATTAATTACTGCTCTTTAAAGGTTTTAGTTATAATTTATTTTAGATAATTATTTCAACTGTAACTTAACATATGAAGGTATAAAAGCTCCAAAAAACAAATTCTGTACACAGGTCAATTAGTTTCTGCATGTTTTACTCGCACTTAAGATGTTTCGTTATTTTGGAAATTGCGGAAATGGGCATGAATCAATAAAGCTTACTGGGACTGCCTTGGATCGTTTTACTGGAGGAGATTCAGTCACTTCAAATACAATATCTTGACGGTAGTTCTTTGTGACATTAATATTCTTTGCGGTGTGATAATTAATAAAACATTCTCCTTTATGGAGATGAACCTGGCATGATAAACAACCGAAGTAGGTATCACGACGCCTGCCACACTGCGTGCGCACATTTGTGGCCGAACAATGCTTGCAATTGCGCCCTCTTCGAGGAAATTTTACCAGAATGTGACTGGTGTCATTCAGCAATGGGTTATTGTTTGGAAATGCTGGCATTACAGTAGTGTTGTTGGCCTCCTCTGCTCTGCTAAAGTCAGAATACGGGATGACAGTACTATGACTGGTTGAGTTCTGTGACAACTGGTTGACGGCAGTTAAAATGTTTTTTTGTACGGTACCAACTTGCGATAGTTCTGCAACTTCTTTTTTTTCTTGCCGCTTTTTATCCTCTTCTATACCTGTGAGCTGTTTAACAATATTCATAATAAACTCAAAGCGGTTTATACTTGAGTGAAATGAATCGTACAACACATGTGCATTATTAATACAAATGTCCAGCAAAAGCCAGAACATGTGCTTCCACCACGTGTTGCACATGTGCTGAATATGTCCGCACGAACGTAATAAAAGACACTCCGGTCGGCTGCTGGTGAATTGTTGGTGTCGCTGGATGATGGTGGGACATGTTACCTCTTTGACTTGATAGCGATTTGTCTCCGCATTGTAAACTTTGCATTCTACAGCTTCCTCCTGCATGCAGTTCATGGTGGATAGGTTGTACACAAGCCCTTTCTCTCCTCCCCAAACTGTGGTGATTACCTCAGTAAATTGTATGGATTGTGATTCCCCCAACGCCAACACATCAAGATTGTCACTTTTCAGTTGCTCCGGGATCGGGAAGCGATCGGCGCTGATGTATACACCTTTGCTGTAAAGACGTCTTGCTAGATTTGCACTGATAGATATCTCGCTAGCATAGACATTATGATATTTGCCGAACAATGGCTCGGCTAATCTCATAACTGCTGCTTCTGTAGTTGTACTATACTGCTGGTTGTCGTAGAACTTTGTGCTTTCTGGTCTATAAATCTCCAAATTTTTGACGTAGCCTGTGTCAGCATCCACAAGCAATAATACACGCCAGCCCTTGGCAGAATAAAAAGGTGTTGTCGGGTTCACTTCTCCCTTTAGTCCGATCATGGCATGTTTCATAATCAACACACTTCCAGGTGTGTATATTGAGCGACAACTATCAGCCAATGGCTCCAGGAATTTAGACAGTTTATACAACGGGTTTTGACGACAAGCCTCATCACGTCTCTCAGAGTTATTAATATAACTCGGGTCACGCCATGGATTACTTAAACGCAAGTATGTATGTAGTTTAGAGAAGCGTGTATAAGTTGGTGCCAGATTCATCCAGTCAAGCGATAAGATGGGATGGTGGGACCAGTAGTCCATCATATTTGGCAGGTTGATGATGGACATGCCTAGACAGGTACCAAAGAGTGTCATCAGCTCATTCTTTCCGGCGACAGGAACCCATCCGACATCCTGCCATTTCCACCAACTTCGCTTAGCATCTCGTTTCTTCTCTTGGTAATACTCCACGTAGTTGTTTGTATCGTTCTTTATCTGCTTATAAAGAGATTTAGGAAAGAAACAATGAAAATAATCCAGTTCATCTTTCAATTCCGAAAGATCTCCGTTGGCACACTGCACGTGGACTGGTGTCTGGATCATTGGTGATATCACCATGTCCGTCCAAGACAGATGCGGCGAATCTTCTGCTTCTGAGTAAGTGTCACTCTCAGAGAGTTCATTATCACTAAGTTCAATCCAGTCAGCATCTTCTATCAAACACTCACCACCAACTGAGAAATGAAAAGCAGGAAATTAGCACACCATCAACACGTTAGTGCAATTGTATCATGTCACATCATTCATCTCCAAAATGCAGAGGCGGATCCAGAGATGTCCGAAAAAGGGGATGTGGGGATCGAGAAACAAAACTACCCAAGTAGACCTTGAAATGTTTGTTTTCTAAACGCCAGGAAATAACCTCTGAGGCGTTTTGGGTGATCAATAATTTTTTTTTTCTTTCCTTTTTTTACTTTCTCAAAGAGGGGGAGGGCCCCCTGAAATTTCCAGCATCATCCTCATATAATTCATCATCATTAATATATTTGTTAATCACCAACCAGGGACAAATCCAGGAGTGCCGAACCTAGGGGTGGCGAAAGGAGTAATTAATGGCATGAATATGCATACTGTATATTTAGAGGAACCCCCTGCTAAAGAAGCCCTCTCAGACAATAGGTAATCCATTCGCATTTGGGACCCTTGACGGAAGGTTCCTGGATCCGTCCCTGGCCTCATTACTGTTTCAATCTGTAAAGATCCTTCAACTTCATACTTCTGTAAATGCCATCCACCACATTCATCAGCATGCACACAAGACAACCTTTCCCACATTAGGCCAAAAAAAAATTGTTTGTTTTCCCTCCTCCACCCACCCCTAACTCACTGAAAAAAAATAGGGGCGGAAAAACAAATTAAAAAATATGTGAGTGAATTTATCTTTATTTTTTGTTAGATGCTCTACAAATTAGTCTAAAGTTGTTGTCTGATGTAAGAGATTGCCATTCCAGGCCTCTGCGTTTTGTTTTTATTCCATCTGATGAGTACTTAAAAAATAAAAAAACCTTTTCCACCCGTCCATATTTATCATTAAAAAAAAAAGGGCAAACAAACAATTTATTTTATTTGGCCTTATCACAATTATTTGTCATCAGTTCTTCTAGTCTGGGTGACAAATACACTAATGACTTTTAACCACAATAACATCATATTAAAGTGATTTGAATCTTGTCATTAAAGTGGTCGATGAGGGCAGTACTGTACATTCGTCAGTCTAGTATGTCGTCCCCCTTATTTTTAACCACTGTTTCACCTTTTTACGTAAGCGTGATTACAATAGCGCCAGAGGTTTCTAATTCGTTACATTTATAATTGATTTGCTTTTGCCATTTTTGCAATTTACCTGGACTTGAAGACGGATTTGAATCAATTGCTGGTGTCATTTCGTCGTCACTGCTCTCATTATCATTTCCTAGAAACAATGCAAATTTGAACAATGAATGATGGCGGATACAAACCCCATACGTAAGATTAAGCAATTACCTCACCAATTTCTTAAGGTTCATGGTTTACATTTTGATCAGTGGATCAATCGCCATTATGCTTTCTATTAGAATGCGAAGAGGCAATTATCTTGAGAAAAATACGAGATAATTATAGTAAGCAATAAAGCTGATTGAATGTATGTATTAACAATAAGCACTTCAAAGGGACACACTACCAAGAATTACATGTTTGCCTAGTAGAAAAGTATCGAACACGAATGACGTAAGCAATTCCAGAATTCTATTCTACTAACGATTATACTACCCTCATCGGCAGACATTGGACAGCAACAAGAAAAACAAATTTGCGGTCTTAAAGTTCGAATATTACGAAGTTATGATGCAGTTTGCATGTGGGCCGATCATGTTGGCGCGTGTTTACATCGGGTGATTGCCAATTCTATTGACATAGAGTAGTCATAATAGTGGATGGATCATATATGCGTTTAATGACAATACGTTTTTGGGTGTCGTTTTGTTCTCTGAAACCATTATCATCTTCCATTTTTGATTGACAGCATAACTCTTTAATTAAAATGACTATCTTCGTGTTAATCAAATATCTTATAATGATATTACATGATAACAGTATTTGGTGTTAATATACAGTACAGTATTAGGCCTAGATTCACGTAAAATAAAAGCGCGCGCAATATCACGTATTAACAGCCAACAATGGAAATGTGGCAACGTACTGTATTTCATGTGAAGCAGTTCTTTTCAGCTGTATTTCCCGCTTTTATAGATGATTGATTGATATCAGATGTATAATTGCTCCAAATTTATTTCAACTTGGATTGCGTCAAAATATTTATGTATATTCATAAGTATACTACAGTAATAATAGTTATACAGCAATAATATAATTATTATCATTAGCTTATTGTTTATGCAATTAGATCATTAATGTAATGGACATTTCCGCTCAGCCCCGCCCCTTGGATATTGTTGCCAAGGTCCGGCCCACAAACCGACAGCGTAAACGTACGTACACACGTGCGTTTGATTATACGAGTGTTTGTGGGACAAGCGCGGACTGTTCTGATGGGTCAGTTTGTTAAGTTTGATTGACACTCCAGAAAGATCCATTGACATGGAACTTGTACAAGAAGAGTACTTACAGGCCTAGTGAACATGAAGCAATTAAAAATTAAGTACAGTATTCGAAATATAGAGTCCTTATGGTCTTCTACATTTGAATATTTTTCTCGAATACAGTGTTTATAGTACCGCCGTTATGAATTATTGGCGGTAGGTAACAGATGACAGCGATGTCACCATACGTTTTCCACCAGAAAATCCAGTATCAACGATTTTATAGGTGTGCTGTTTTCCATCTATAATTTAAAGCGCACGCCCGACAAAAAAAAAATAAAAAAATATGGAGTTTGAAGGCAAGCCAGTAGGCCAAACTAGTGGTGTTCGTTTTAATTCAGTTCATGTCTCAACTTAGTGGGACATGCGCGATTCCTAAACCTAACATAGATTGTGATTGGTCGGTTGTGGTGGTGGCTAATTTGTTTATATAGTACTGCATTGTCCATGTTTAGATGGATGTGTTTTCCCACTTTAAAAACAAGCAGACTTTAAGCATACGGTAAATTCAGACAAAAGAAAACCAAAAAAAAAAGGGGGAAAAAAACACGTTTAGGTATACTTTAGCTAGGCGCTGCTTCATTCAAAAACTTATAACAATATATCGTATCATTATTTTAGCCGGCATACAAGCATAAAGTACAGCACTATCGCGTGGGAGTTTTCTAGTTGCATGCTGACAATAGCGCATGCGTTCCATGTATTCTTCGCGGTTTTTCCTGATTTGTATGGATGGCTGTAAACTCAGTCGGGTCTTTAGTGTGGTGAACTAGGCCTAGATCTTGGGTTTGATTAAACCCCTCAATCAATTAACAGGAAACCAGATGCGAGGCCTACGTACTGTAACGTGTACACCACCACATTGTGTTTTAGTCATAGTGCTATAGGCCTACTGTATAATGTCTCGGAAAACAATCACGCTAAAATTTAATAATATAATACTTGGACATTGGAATTATGAAATTTATTAACTCTTATAATGAAATCAAAAACATTTAATCCTGATTTAATTGATAATACATTACAGAAAATAATAATTGAAAAGGTAATATTTACAGCGTGATTAAAAGAATATACAAATCGATAATAGACGAGTTGAAAGTAATATAACAGATATGTAGGCCTATGTTGTTCATGATAGAATGATATCGATATCAATACTATTGATAAAACTATAACAATACTATATAGCTACAGTAGTAGAACTTTTTGATAACACTATTTATTTTAATATTAATTATAATTTATAATAACAATATAGGAACCATTTTTATTATATTATATTTAATTAAGTTAATTAAATTGTTAATTTATCACTACAGTAACATTGCTCGCCAAAAACTTGAAATATATGTCAATTAAGTTTTGTATACATTCATCCGGTTTTCATTGTATTGTAGTAAATAGTTGTTTAAAGTAAAAAAATAAGAAACGTATTAAATACTGTATGAAAAATTATAAATTTATAATTCAGTAGCACAGTATTTAAATTACTCGTTACGATAGTGGTACGTAGGCCTACAGTTTATATTCGATGTGCTATCAACATTAAACAACACAAAGTCACGTGCCATACCCGACTATGATGACCTATTTGTATACATAGGTCACGAAATATTATAATCCATTATAATGTTAAAGGCTTAAACGTTCATAGAACAGAACCCATACCATACCGTTATTATACATAATTAGGCCTATACAGTACCTTTTTGTGTAGGCATCGTTTCTGTTCTTACGCTACGAAACGAAGCAATGGATGCATGCACGGCCTTGCAAGGCCTTGCCGTTGAAAACATATCAACAAGCCCGTCATTATCATTTACGTCTTCTTCTAAAGGTTCCGACTTAACATTCGGCTGCAACATTTGTATGCCTAATCGTCTACGAAACGATGGCTCAGAAAACAATCCAAATAACGCCAAATCGTGCTGTATTCACGACGTAAACAATATGGCGGTTGAATATGGCATATGCTATAATATGAGTACAGTAGTAATTGTTCTAGTCGTGTACGTTGTTCTCCAAACCGGATAAGCGAATGACGCTACGTCATATGCAAATTAGCAGCAGTGTGAAACGTAAACGGTGCGGAGCGTGACTCCATACAGACACGTGACCGCTGTGTGTGCTGTAAGGTCGCTAGGCTATCAAACGTGAATCTGATTGGACCGTCAAATCACATGCTATAGTACTGTGCAAATTAATGCCGGTTTACAATTACTATAGAACGTTATCTAAAAAGGAAAACATATCCAGTGCTGGTTCACTTTCTATGTTATAGGTCCTATATTTTTCTCTAGATTGAAGACATAAGGTTCTGTAATGCTAGAAGTTATCATTCGTAAGGGATGGGTCCATTTTCCCTTGAAAAATGAATGGCATTGTTACCTCATATCCGACAGGCAACTTCTATGAGTAGCCTACCTTTTAACTTCTAATTTTTATTTTAATTATCCAGCCTTTTTTGTAGTTCGTACTTTTGGACTCTAATAGGCCTATAGAGACTTCTATTACTGCGTTATTTTCTTCCTCCAAGGTTATATCCATTAACTGACTTTGCAGAAGAATTTGCTTTATCAAAATGTAGCACTATCTGTCTCTGGTAATAATAGTTTAGAGACCAGAGTACAGTGTTTTAGTTTAGTCTAGTCCATTCACATACAATGGGGAAGGATTTATGCAAAAGGACGGAATACAATACACTTCCGAAATAAACGATACATTTAGATCAGCAACCAGAAGGTCCTGGTATGTCGTGCTTGAATTCTGTTATTATTTGTTGTTGTTATTATTGTTATTGTATTATTATTTATTATCCAGTATTAATGAATTATTGTTATTAAAATATTATTGTCATTACTATTATAATAATATTATGATAAATAATATTAATGGTAATGATAATAATAACAATAACTTAATGTTGATCATAGTAATGTGATCAAGGGCACTTTTGTTCATACAATATTTTTATTGTATTATTAATTATTATTAACTGTTAATGAATTATTTTCATTAAAATATTGTTGTCATTACTATTATAATATTATAATGATAAATAATATTAATGGTAATAGTAATAACCATAATATGATGTTGATCATAATAATGTCATCAAGGGCACCTACGGGTTCATTTAATAATTTTGTTATTGTTATTGTATGTATAATTATTATTAATAAATATTAATGATTTATTGTTATTATTATTAATAAATATTAATGAATTATTGTTATTAAAATATTGTTGTCATTACTGCTATTATAATATGATAATTGTAATAATAAGTAATATTAATGGTAATAATAATAATGATATGATGTTGATCATGGTAATGTCATCAGGGACATTGCCTATTTTAAATTAATTTACTTTGTAAACACACGAGTGGTTCGTTCAACTTAATTAAAAATGTTGAAATACAGTTTGAATTATACAAGTTCAGTAAACAGAAAAACACAATGAACAAGAGGTGAATAAGCATTAAGACTCAAATTTGACCAATTAGGCCAACAGGAGGAAGTATATCTTCAATAACAACACACAACTTAATAAAAAAAAAACTACATATGCCTAATACATATAAGAACACACACGTACATATTATAATTGTAATAATAAATAATATTAATGGTAATAATAATGATATGATGTTGATCATGGTAATGTCATCAGGGACATTGCCTATTTTAAATTAATTTACTTTGTAAACACACGAGTGGTTCGTTCAACTTAATTAAAAATGTTGAAATACAGTTTGAATTACAAGTTCAGTAAACAAAAAAAACACAATGAACAAGAGGTGAATGAGCATTAACACTCAAATTTGATCAATTAGGCCTACAGGCAACACACAACTTAACAAAAAAAACTACATAATACATATAAGAAGACACACGTACATATTATAAATAGCATATTCTCACAATAATTTTTATAATCATATTACATTACTTTGACATTGTTGTTTTTATCATCATTATTTTTGGTTATTGTTTGTCTTGCATAGTGCATCAGCCAGTAAGGCTTCAGAATGTTTGTAATTGCTTTGTGCCACTGTTACAAAAGTGCAGCTTCAATATGTTACTATTACCACGCTCATTGAATCAAACATCTTTAGAACACAAAACTCAGCTACATGAGAGAATTCTATAATGTTGCAGGTAGTAGCATCAGCATATGAAAGTGTTATCGACTCATACGTTCCAAAAATACGTGCGAAAAATTTGCAAGTGGTTCTGGTGGAAATCGAACCCACGACCTCCAGATCATAACTTGCCTGGTGTCATAACCACCAGACCACCGAGCTTGCACTTAGTGACTAGTGTTGAATCCGATCCCCAAGTAGCAGAGGGTACTGCAGATGCTAGTATGGTGTGTGTTTGCGTCAGGGTGGTAATATGCTATTATTTCCTTCGTGCATTAGGATTTATTATAAATATCCATTGTTAATATTCGAATGTCAATTTGTTTATTTTATGTTTTATCAGCGGCCGCGGAAGAAAAAAAAAAGCGAAACCATATATATTGTATCACCATATGGAATGCCTGATGATGACATAATTAATGTCGAAATATTGAATCCCGACACGATGGCGTGCATTTCGATACCGGTACTTGGAGTATGTATTATACTATCTTATCTGAGATTAATAAGTGGACCTTTCGGTATATGGAATTAAATCTAATGAGTTTCACCGCTGCCGCGTGCCGCTGTCGCGCTCAGATATCGGATATTTATGATAATGATAAATGAGTATTATTATTATTATTATTATTATATAGTTCATTTAACCCTAACTTTGATATTGTAAATTGACATTACCAATGTGTTGCTTGAACCTAAAGGTTGTGGGTTCAATCTTAGCTACCGGTATCGCAGATGACCCAGTAATATTGCCGTTTTTTAAGACGTCATTGTGGGCTTATTCGAAAGCGGTGCTTATTATAGAGTAGTGTCAAAATGGTACCGTAGGCCTACCGGATGTACATTAGGCCCATTTGACATGTCCTACCCAACATTCATAGGCCTATTATTAATTTTATTGGAGCTCGATTGTTACTAGTTTATCGGTGATATTAAAGCAATGCACGCATTAATAATGTACTCTCGATTAAGCGACGTAACGTTTATTTAACATCGAATATAGCTTTACCGAGGCGGTTATCCCATCTGAGAGCGGTAGTATGAACAAAATTCACGTTTATTTGAAAGAAGAATGATCTCTTTTTTTAAAAGTGATTTAAAAAAAAATGCAGATGCTCTCAAATATAGTATCTTGTATTTTATAGGCTGCACAATCTGAACAACTTCAACCAGGTGACACAAAAGCCACCGAAAAGGCGAAACGGAAGAAAAATAATAAAGAAGTGAAAGTGGACGCGAAGACGAAGAACGCACAGAAAGTTTTGCGCGGTTCGCGTTCCATACCAAATCTGATCTACTCAATCGAACAATATGAGCGCATCTTGATCAAACTCGGAAAGAGGGCAAAGGTAAGGTTGATGTTTTTAGTTTACTTTAGTTTATCAACAGCTCCAAATCTATGTACCCCTATGCTTTTAATGATATTCTGGTGTAAGCGTCCACTTTCGTTATTAAATAGGCATGTAACAGAACCTTCCTTTAGAGATACCGGTAATTCATTTCTAAACCATTCATTTTAAAGTGTTTAATTGATTTAATGGAAAATAAATTTATAAAGTAAAAGAAAAATAAAAGAACTTAACGATAAAAATTAAAATTGTAATATTAATGCTCAAATCGAAGCCTTTAATTATATGGTAAAAAGGAATATTATACTATGGTCTTGACTCAAACTTTCTAAAAGTTATTTTAGCATTAATTGTCCCTCCATTGTATTACAATACAAGGTAGCCTAATCTGTATGGTCTTACTTTTCTATCTACCATGGTTATTGAGACACCGAGACTTGTGTGTCCGTTGGTCTGTCGATATTAGTATTAAGTTGAATGAAATATTGTTTGCACATTGAAGTAATAATAATATTAAATATTTGCGGTACACCACGTAGGTAGTTCTGAAAAGAACTGTTGTTTTGTTGAGAATGTCTTTGTTGAGAAATACATTCTTAACAAAAAACATATATCGCTGAAGTGTTGTTGCTATGAAGCACATGACGCCGTCATATGCCTACTGATGTAATACCTGTCATTGAGTTGCAGCCTTGGTCTAATTTTGTAAGTGCACTTTACTTATTGCGTTTCGTGGAAAGGTTTATTTTTTTTTTTTGTATATTTCCATGAATACGAATGACAATATACTGACAGTGTTTGATTCAGTCTCGGCTGGTGTTTCAATTTATCGAATTTATTTCCCCCTAATTTTTTTGTCAGGTAAATTTGATGGAGCACGTCAAATTGAGCACGTCACGTGATTTCCGGATTAATTTCGCAGTCGTAGAGGCATCCCTGGACGCTTCATCAGACGAACAGGTAAATAGCTCATTCTCCGGTGTTTCACATGCTCATCCTACGTGATATCGCGTATAAAACAGTGTACCTTGTTCACAAGTATACAGTTTAGGCAGTTTGACGCAAGTAACGCATCTACGCGTCGTAGTGACGTTGTTTGCGTCAACCTGTCTAAATACTCACTATAGGTCGGCCATCAGTATTACGGAGCTTTCGAGTAATGTGCAACGTCGTCACCCCAATGTCTTCCTTGTGCAACTTAAATCCGGTTCAGACACAAGAACTTATCGTCCTCACATGTGCAAACGGATTCTACATGACATCATTACGTTTTAGATCTTACCGTCGTCGTGCAATCGAAGGCTACCTGCCGACATGCTGTTGTGCGTATTTTTGGTCAATGCGTCGACGGTGATTGCGTAAACGCATGTTACCCCATCGTCACACTTAACATCAGTGTCTTGTAGTATTATTACAATACAGAAATATTTTAATTCATCACAATGTTAAATTATTCGTTTTTAAATTTAAAGTACAATAATACATATTTTAATTGTTAATGATAACCTAACTTGGAGAATGGTTGACAGTTTAGGCCTATATGGATAGGGTGAAAAAATATTAAATTTGAATGAAGCAAAAAAGGGTGGTAAAGCGCGCTGCCAATATTTTACACGCGCTAGATATAGGCCTACTGTTCAACGTTTTACTTATTTTTTGTTTAAACATTTTAACATTTTAAAATTTTATTTTCCTTTACATTCAGAAATTGTTCCTGATAATTGGGTAATTTCGCCCTCGTAAGATTTCAAATATTATGAGTTGATTGTTAAGACACTAACGATCAAAGATTGCCGCTTCTGATGATACTAGCAACGTTAGTATTGCAACATTATTTGCCACGATAAAGGACGTTTTAGGAAGCTACCATCAATAAACGGCGTCGCGTCGTCAAGCTAACGCACTGTGTGGGTTTTAAAGGTGGAAATCCGTTTTTTCGCGTGTAGCTGCGCGTTTTCAACCAGCGCGTGGTATACTTGAGATTTACGTGATATTTAGTTATTTTTAAAGTGAACGAAATAGACCAAATTGCTTCAAATAAGTGGACTAAACGTGTCACGATAATAATAATAATAATATAATATGTCGTTCTTATATAGCGCTTCATGCATAAAGCCTCTAAGCGCTTCACATTACTACCCCGGTCATTGGATCAAACAGGTATGGAACACATACTCAGCCCCCTGGGGAGAATTCCATAATATTGCAGGTAGTAATCAGCGCAGTTGTGTTTGAACCTATCAGGTACTCACTTGTACTCCTGGGTGGAGAGACACAAGCATACATAAAGTGCCTTGCCCAAGGACACAAGCGATTTGCACAGCGAGAGTTTCGAACCCCCGACCTCAAGGTTGGGAGTCCAAGCCACAACCGATAAGTGGTTGGCGCATTACACACCACATCACATCACACGTGCGATATCACACAAAATGTCCTGTTATGCACTTTTCATCTTTTACAGTTATCTGAAGATAATGAAAGTGAACAAGAAGAAAAAGAAGAACCAAAAAAGAAAAAAATTAAACGAACTAAGGACGGGAAAAAATGATAGGCCTTAAATTCTTACTAGTAAAGTATGCTACAAGCGCCCGCCTGAACAATTGTTGCTGTATTTTGTTTACATACTATTAAGGTCTACTATGTAAACGGGCGTTAGCCTGAGTTTACAGTGATTATGTTATAATAAAATCGCCATGAAATATATTTCATATTTTATATGCTTTTTAAATACCATATTATATTGTTTTAATATTGAATAACAATTATTATTATTATTAGGCCTATTATTATTATTATTATTATTTAAATAATTAAATTATTATATTAATATCATTACTGTTATTATTTATATTTTTCCATTTCTTCTATTATTATTATTATTATTATTATTATTATTATTATTATTATTATTATTATTTATGTTGTTATTGTATAGCAACACATCGTACCTAATTGCATAGGTTGTAGATGTGCTACTGATATTTTAGAAATTATTTTTGTCAGTTTTAACATAAACAAATCAATCACTAAAGACAAGCCAAATAAACAAACTCTTGCTTATATGTCTGGAATTCTAGTACCGTGGCCATGGTAACCATGACAACTTGAATACTGTTAAGTTGCTCATGACGAACAACGGTGAGATTAATAAATGTCTGATCAAACACTAACACTCCCGCCAATATTATTCGCGGGAAACAAAATGCATACGTTCACGTGATGGAATGTTAATTGCCTTGATGTAAATTTGAGAATGTTACTTATGGTGGGCCTACTCTCGAGTCTTAAACCGTGTGAAATCACCCAGAGTAATCATTGTATGGTATAAATTTCATATGAAATTCGGCAGGACGATATGCCATTAATTAGCCTAATCTAATTACCGTACTGTAATCATAAATAGGGCCTATATGAATTATATGCGTATTTTAGATGGTAATGATTACCTTGCCATTAGAATATTAAAATAGATATAGGCCTATTGTTATAATCTTTATTACAATGTTATAAAGTTATATTAAAAGTTTTACGATTGAATTATTTCATGTTAAGCAACCGTGTTTACTTTTTTGTTCATTGTTTTCAAGATTATTATCCATTTTTGTACAGTGCCGTGAAGCCGCCTTGATGTCATTCTTCAGTGGCGGGTCCATTGGGAGTGGGTGGGGGTGATGAAATGGGTGGTTTCGCCCTTGGTCCACTCCTTGTTCCTGATAGCCGCCCAATGATATTCCTTATTACAGAAGCAGGCAGTTACTCTACTACTTTCGTGGTTCGCGCCCTCAGGAGTATACCACGTTAACGTGAGAAAGCTGAGTTTTCATAAAGTCGCTACAAGCTATCCCCGACAGCTTTCAGCAACGCTGATTGGTTGGTTGAATAAGTGATCCTTCCCGATTGCGTCGGGGTCAGTTACGTACTGCAACAATTGCAGAGAAAACACTGTAGTGACAGTGTAACGATTTTATGGAAACCAGGCTTCCGGAGTTGTAGTTGAGTACGGTATACTGTCGCAGCGATTGAATTATAGTTGATTTATATTGTATCATTTATTTTATCTGTACACAATATAATACAGAATTCCACAAAATTCACAGTTACTGTATTACAAGACTAAAAATTCATACGAGAAAGGATTCCCCAATGTTTAATAGTAGATCGAAAAATAAAGATAAAAGTAGAGAAATCTCTGATCTATTCTATGATATCAATATAAAATCCTATCGTAAAAAGATAAGATTGTATATACTATGCATCAGAAATTCATTGCCATGCAAAATCGAGTTCATTTGACGTAAACCGTTAACAATGCAATGGACATTTCCGCTAAGCCCCGGTCCTTGGATATTGTTGCTAAGGTCCAGCGTTAAAACATACGCAAACACATGCGTTTGTGGGACAACATGTGTGCTAGTTACACACGTGCGTATTTCTGGCGTTGTTCTGATTGGTCAGCTGTTAGGTTTGATTGGAACTCCGGAAAGGTCTATTATTGATGGATGGATGGATTGATTGATTGACGGATTGAGCTAATTTGGCCTAAACCGTCAGTCGGTTGTATCTTTTTCTCTACATTGCGCGAAAACATTGCTTGTATGAGTCCTAGCAAATACATTTGAATATAGTTTAAAAGTTACGCCTTAGATATTCTGCTGTATATAGGCCTATTGTCAACAACAGAGGAAAAGCCATTCCTGTGTTATTTATCAACAAGTGCAGTGAATGTTTGATTGGTTAGTTCATTGAATGGTGGATTGATTTGCTATTTCCTTCTGCATGACGCGAACACAATGTTTGCATCTGATACGTTGGATAAATTATTCGAAAGAGTATGCCTGAAGTGTATAATTGGGTTCTAATATTTCTTACCTACTAATCTCATATCTTCAAATTTTGTTAATTTCTATATTGTTTTTCCTTTGATTAAAAAATATGAAAATCCTTAAAGCTCTTAGCCTATTTATGAGTTTAAATAATCACATTTTCCGTTTTTAAGTGGTAAACATAGCCAAGATAATAGCGTATGCAAAGTGCTAATATGATGTGGGTAGTCTAGAGGTCTTGGCATTTGTACATATGGTAGACAAAGGACTGACATCGGCCGAGTAGGGGCCTTTTCAAGAGCAAAACGTGTAAAAACATCAACATTCGCCCTTCAAAACGCCGAAGCGGACTTTGATTTTTCCCGTGCCCACTGGGTTATACCTGGACCCAACCCCCACTCCCAGGGTAGTAGGGCTCGATTAAACCTTTGCCAGGTGCCTTATCGTTACGTTGGTAGTGGTGCATGCTGCTTTTGGTGTCATTATTATTTGTGTTTTTAATTGTGTGTCAGGTCCGATGATGATAGACGCAAATAGTTATTTATATTTTATCTTTATTGTTATTGCTGTGTCTAAATGTCGATTAATGCTTCTTAGGTATTTCACAACATGTATTTAATTTGTCCATAACTACGATTATCTCCGACGCCACACAATGCTAATGACTGGCGCGCACGCGCAAAGGCTAACAAATTCTGGATAATATTTCAAAGACAGACACTTATATACATTGTACATAAATAATAAGAATTTAATAGAAAAATGTTTATTAACAATACTCAATGGAGCGCTGAAGATATGATCATCAAACATTACGACCTTGAGTTTGGGGAGATATTATTTAATATATTTATTATGTTAAGGTTGTCTGAGGAACGATAATTGTTATATAGGTCGATATCATATTCTTTCCGGCTGATATATTTTATTTGCGGACCTAGAATGTGTCTTTAAATATACAGTATTATGGAAATGGGACCCCAAATTGTGTTTCAGAATGTGATTACATTATTTGAATTTAAAGTTGTTCATTTTAGTATCAACTGATTTAGTGAAGCCTAATAAATAAATAAAGAAAATTTCTGTAATCTTTTTACCGTTTTTCCATGTTTTAAAACGTTACTACATAATTAGTTTACCTCGTTTGCTTGATTTTTATCATATGGGCCTAGGAATATTAGTACCGTACATGGAACCTTAATGGAAAAAACTGCGCCAAGACGCCTTCTATTTCTGACAGTCGGGTTTCCATAAAATCGCTACATGCTATCGACGACAGCTTTTGGCGACGCAGATTGGTTGGTGGAATCGAGGAGCCTTTTCGATTGCGTCGGAGACAGGTACGCGGTGCAACAATTACTGTAAAGATACTGTAGCGACAGTAGTGAAGTGATTTTATGGAAACCAGGGTTTAGTAAGAGACCTATTTCAGCGATTGTTAAAAGTTCAACATCTTTGATATTGCAATCTGGTCAATGGTAAAATAATTATGTAAATTTTTTAAACAATTAGAGACGGGTGAATTAATTAATGGCAGATTGTGTTGCAATAACGAAGAAGAAATCAATCATCGTAGAAACGATTAACGCAGCCAAGTGAATGATTTTATATCGAGTAACCCGGATGCCATGGCATATTGAATCAATTGCCTGGTAGCTAGCCTTCGGGCATCTATATTCTATTGTGTGGATAACATTCTTCCCTTCTCTAGGTGTCAGTATAAATCCTTCTTTGAGGTTACACAATAATTCCATTTCTGTTTCTTCCTTACAGCATATCACGCTTCCTTTCAATCAAATAAATCATTCATGAATATTAAATAGGCATAATGATTTTGTATTTATACAGCACATAATGCCCGAGCGTGTACTTCATGTATGAACAGAGAGACAAAACGGAAAAAATAGAAAGTAACGAGATAAGAAAACAAACTAAGAGTCACGTGATTATCATTAGGTTTCAAACTTATTATTTAATAATAAAAAAAAAAAAAAACAGGTGTGTCGTCCGTTTTTTTAAATTTATTTTTATTTATTTATTATTATTTTAATGTAATGTAATGTAGTTCGATTTATATAGCGCTTTATACCGTCTCAAAGCGCTCAAGGTGTGGACTAGCTCTTGCAGTAACTTTCTTCTCTCCCTAAGGGTCTCTCTCTTCTTGTTTGAGCTACCCGGTAAACCGGTATCAGCTGTCGCTTGTGTGTCCACAGGGGCTGTATGAACCAGTACACCAGGGTAACCCTTAGTCGTACGTCTCGGAAGATGTACTAGAATCTTCAAAGTGCACATGAGCCAAATGGAAAATAGAAAAATTAGACCCATTTTTTCTGCACTTGGTTAACACACACGGACACTCAATCATCATCTCTCAACCAAAATTTAGATAGGCCTAGTAGGCCTAGATTGAACTCCGGAGGCAGGGAGCGTAGCCCTGGACACCCTACACCCCAAGCTTCCTCATTCGGACCATACATCTCGCACCATAGCTCTTCGATTGCAGCTTAATACACACCCCCAACCCCGGCAGAAAATCATGAACCCGCCAGTCATTTTCAATGCTTTTAGGGTTCTTTAAAATCAACTCGTTTTACTCATAATTTATATAGTATAGTCGTTGTCTGCCATGATGTTCTTTTGTACAAAACGAATTAGTAATAGATTCAGGGAAAGCGAATTTACGATTGTCGTACATAATATCTTTGATCGGTGGTCGTAGTAGTTAACCTAGATATTAATTTAGTGATAGACAATTTTGAGTCACGCGCCCGTGATAACAACATATTAACGACAGAGTTGAAAAAGTATACCGGGTTCAGAATGGTCATAACGGTAATTAGTTTGGGTGATACAACAATATTTCATTTATTTAATTATTTTTGTGAAGCATGACACTACTTTTGTTTGTTAAAGGTTAACAGTTCTCCAGTGCGAGTGATAGTGGTGGTGGTGATGGTGATAATGACGATGATGTTGACGATGATGATGATGATGACTATGATGATAATGATAACGGTGATGAAGTAGTAGTAGTAAGTACGGTAGTGTAGTACTAAATAGTAGAAAATGTTGTGGATGATGATGTTGGGCAATACCGTAGTATAATGACGATGGTGACTTCCCGTTGTGTATTGATATTAGTATTGTGTCCAATCTGACTGAATTCGCGGCGATTAAAATCAATACGCGATAATACTCAAGTTCACCCATACATTTGCAACATAATCCAGCACGCCGATTTGCTTCATTATTATGTTAAGCTCCTCCTAATCGAATAAGGATATAGTTAGTTTCCATGCTTTTCTAATGCTTTGTTAACTTAGATCGTATGCTGTAATTTTTTTTGGTCTAAACAGAATTGAAATCAATATTGCGAAATAAGATTACTCCAAAATTGAGGCAATCTCATTTGCCAGCGACTATGTTCATGCGTGGGCAAACGGGAAGCGGGTCATTTAATTAGATTTGAACTCTATGAGCCAAAAGTTAATTACTAATTACGCAAAGGTTGACCGGTTGCCTCATCAGTAACTTGCGCTTTCAAAACAGCCACGTGCCCAGTCTCAATAATCCCTTGATTTTAGTGCGTACGATAGTATGCCGTTAAGGAGCGGTGGTAAAATGAATACGAAGATGAATCAATCATAAATTGCTGTGATAGTGGTGGGGTTGTGATGGTAATGATGATGATAATAATGATGATGAAGATGATGATCATGATCATGATGATGAAGATGAAAGATGGTGATCATGGCCATGACGGAGAGGATATCTCAGTCGGCTAAACTGGTTGGAGTTGGCACTATGTGTGTAAAGCGATCCTTCCAGTTGACGATGATGATGATGGTGGTGATGATGATGATGACAATGATGATGATATTGATGTGTCGAATGATGATAATATGATGCGATGAATGGTATGGATATTAACATTGATGATTGTAATAATGATGTGATGGATGATGTTGATAATTGTTCATTAATTATGATTGACAATGTGAAGGGTACGGTACTGTAGATGAGATGGTGATGGTAATAATACTGTACTGTATATTAAACTGAATAACATATCAAACAATCCAATACAGTAATTATTTAAATATCATAACCTATTTAATGTACAATTTTTGGTACACAATACAAAAACATGAAATTATTCCTCATTACTATTTATATAATTTACCTATAGAAAGTAACAATTTAGTAGAATCATAAGTTAGGCCTATTGTATTATTATTATTATTATTATTATTATTATTTAAAAAAACCCCAATATATATATATATATATTATTTGATAACCACATATATAATGTTGACAACATTCGATACCGGTACAATATAGATACTTGATATCTTATTTACACGAGACTGACATACCGATATGTTACACTATAATATTTGCATAACCGTAAGTGGCGTGCAGAGGAAGAATTCAATGTATGTGATATCACCGCAAGTGATACTCTCTTTCTCTCGGACCAGCGCGGCGTGCGTGCGTGGAAGTGTGATTCCGATTCAATCAAGATAAGATCTCACATCCAGGCGTGCTTTACGTGGAAGTGTGAGTAAACTTCCAATAAGGTGGTCTATCGCAGGCGTGCGTTCCGGCTCCGGGCAAACTTAAGATAAAGCATCGCAGGAATGCGTCGTGTAGCGCGACAAACGGGCCAACTCCCAATAGGATAGAATCTTGTCGGCATGCCGGTCGTTAAAACTTTACAGGTGGACAACCCACCCGCCCCACCCCTCCCCTTTCCAATATATTGGTCCATCGCAGCCGTGCGGCGGTCGTTAAAACTTTACAGGTGGACAACCCACCCGCCCCACCCCTCCCCTTTCCAATATATTGGTCCATCGCAGCCGTGCGGGGACACTCCCGATAAAGCATTGCAGGCATCCTGCCTCGCGGTAGTGCGACAATCGTGCCAACCCAATAGGATAGAATCTTGCCGGCATGCGGTCGTTAAAACTGCACAGGTGGACACCCCCCTCTAGATGCCGTAATGTGCCAAGTACGGGCACACGCCTAATACCATCTTTTTGCAGGCGTCTGTTGCCACGTTGTTGTGGAGAAACTCTTTATGCACCTAACTTTTCGTCAAAGACTGTACACACGTTTAAGAGTCAAATATTTTCCTTTAAGGTTTATCACCATTTCGGGAGCATAACATTAAAAAATATGGACAGTTAAATTAAAATGGACAGGTTTGATCCAAAATCGGGAAACCCGGTACACATTTGGTGCTGTTTCCCCAGGCATCACAAATGTAGCGGAGGGCAGCCTCCTTTTAATTAATTTGTATTTGATTTAAAATCAAATCACAATGAAAATAAATTTTAACATTTGGCAGGCATAATAATCCTAATACTTGGTACAACCACATAGTTAGCAATCGTAAATACTCTACATTGTAAATTTAAAGGTATCAAATAAGTTATACTAATGAGGCACACATTCAAACTGATTTGATGTTTAAAATAAAAATACTTTCTTATTTTACCATTAAATTTAAAGGTATACCGTACAATATGCAAATAACATAGGAATCCGATAATATCTGTAAATTAATGATTTAAAAAAAAAAAGCTATATGCACATCGGATCCGAACCGAGATTCGGACCGTGTTTCCGATGCAGTGGACGCCAGCATCCCTATTCTTACATACTGATCAGATTTTCTGATCGGGTTAGTAGGCTTTCTGACTCGGATTCGGTGTGAATGCCCCTTTATCGTTCTATATTGCAATTGAAAGTTAATACTAAAAATACAAGAAGCAGATATATCTTCGTTGACCTGTCTTACCTGTCTGAACAATCGCTTAGGTTAAAGGGCCACTCTACCCGCGGTAAAGATTAGTTCTTATATCGTCCGACAGCAGTTAACTTGTAGGCCTATGTCATCTCATCGAACAGTAGGCCCGTTCCTAATAGCTCAGAATCTTCTTATTTTTAGTCGTGAGAAAATAATACTCGGATGTGGCAAGCTTTCAACCCAGGACACAAAAATTGGCGGGCGAGCACTTTTACACACACAGGTCCATAATGTACGGGAAATTTAGCAGAGCAAAAAAATACTGATTTAATTGAGGGATTGATTGTTTGGTTGATTGATTGTTTGGTTGATTGATTGTTTGGTTGATTGCAGTAGTTGATTGATAATGGAAATAAATCATTACTTTCCCTTTATGGTACGGTACCGATTTTATAAAACAATTCATTTTGCTTGTCTGTTCGTTGTAACGGTTAAAAGCAATAAATTACACATAAAAGTTTAAACAAGGTAAAAGATATAAACGCAAACAGGCTAGACGTTTTATTATTCTGCTATCTAGCTAGTATAAGAAACATTACTTTTTTACCCGTACAATCTTTTAAATGATTTACTCTTATTTGGATTTCATCATACACAAGTGGTCATATAAGTGGTTAACTACAACAGCAAATTATCCGTTAACTTTAACAACTAGCTATTCATCCGTTTAGTTTAACAACGGGTTTAGGTACCTATTCATTCGTAGTTTGACAACGTATCGACCGAACCGTAGTTTGACAACGCATCCTCCGATCCGTAGTTTGACAACGCATCGTCCGATGCATATACGTAATATTTAACATTATATAAATATTTCATTATTTGAAATATATAAAAACAAAAAGTATTGTGTTCCCGCCGCCCTCTTTGGTTTACAATTTCTTTTAATGTTACCTCGGATTTAGGTGTACACTGCACACACGTGCACTATACACGCGTACATTTTGCGTTACACATTTTTGAAAAGTAGGCCTATGTAGTGATTTTTCCCACGTCCATGAAAGATTATGATGTCAAATGTAAGACTGAGTCCGTGCTCTCCAGTAATTAAATTCACCACCTAATGTCCGTTGATGGCGAAATTTAGAATTTGAATATAAACATTTAGGTTCTAGACCAGTCAGAGATTTCCCGACAGTACGGTAGGTCCGAGATTCCCGAGAGGGGTCCACGACCACCTCAAACTTCATGGATAGAGCAATTTTAAGAATAGGCACATGATGCCTGGAAATGGCACTCCCAGACTGTAAAAATGCAGACGAAATGGTTGGCTTTTTACCCTACGGGGGTACGGGTCCAGGGGTTTTTGGCGTGGAGGTCATATGCCCTCGACCCCAGGTTGACCTTACCACTGCTCTAGACGAGGTTTCTAGTTACAATGACACTATACATTATTGGGAAGTCCAAACGAGGTAGGGTGTGTCACAATCTTGTAAATTTAAAGTTTATTTCTTTTGATATCTGGCATATAATTTTATATAATAGGGAATAGTGATAAAAGCACTAATATTTATATATTTTATCCAGTCTTTGGATATTGGTACTTCAGCTAATGCCCAAGTATCTGGTTATTGAAGTTAAATCTAAAAATATGTTATATAAAGCCGGGCACAGAGCCTCAGTCGTAATCGTTTAATCCCCTCAGTTTGCATCAACAATCAGTAGACGTTCGTACGCGGTGTATGACCGGCATAACTCTCCCCCTGCAATATTTTCTTGAAAATCTTGGAGTTTGTCCTGTAAATGCTGTACTACTTAATCAGAGATCACTATTTCCTGGTGTATCGGATCCCTTGAGCAGTGTCTAAAACCGTATCTGGAACCGCAGATCGTCGTCATTTATAGATAGCCATAATCGTTTGGACATAGGGTGACCTTTTGTCGAAGATGTCCGTATTTCTTCAATAACAAGGCTTAGCTTCAAGGAGGTATCACGAGAGGTTGTCAGCTGCTGTAGCCCATGCTTATGTCCACCCTCTTACCAGACATGGCTTCGGTATACTGGTGCATTGTCAGATACGTTGTATTTATTGGAATTTCCTTTAATATCACATACGTAACTTCTATCTATACCTACCCTTCGCATTTCCACTGTATTATCCCAACGCAACATACGCTATCACGTCTTTCTCAACATTCACAACGAAGGGAATAATAGTAGGTCTGTGCGGTGGTTTTGCTGCCACGAACTTCAAGTTCTGCAGAAAAACCGCGGTGAGGTTTTTTCCGTAGCATGGAGGAATACTTAGTCCTTCAGGATTTGTAGAATAGGCCTAGCTTCCAGGCCCATGCATTTTGCCTTCTAGTTGATCTGTTTACTCTGTCGTTTCAGCTTGCTTTCCCTCTTCATCTTGTGGTACTTTACCTGAGAATGAGAATAAATCATAATGTCATTTAGAAGAATGCAACAAATACTATAAAGTGATTTGGATTGTTAAATGATAGATGAACCTACCTGTTAATTCATAATAACCAGTGGTGGATCCAGGAATTCCAAATAGGGGCAGGGGCAAGGAGGGACTTTCACCTCAGCCCCACCATGGTCGGGGCTGAGGTAAGAAAACTTAGGATTATGGCACCTGATTGCCGAAATTTGGACTTCCAGACTTAAAATTTTAATATTTTTATTTTTTCTCCATTCTTTTTAATAAGTTTGAAATTTATTAGGGGGAGGCCCCCCCCCCACCCTTGAATCCGCCACTGATAACCGTAAAATAAAAGGTATATTTGAATGTTAGAGGGAAAGTTGGGGTGGAGTTCTTGTCCTTGAAAGAATGTTCACAGCATGACAGGGGATGTGGGGAAAGGCAACAGAGTGAAGGGAATTTATTGCCTTGGTATGGCACGCCAGGGCGGACATAAACACATCGAGGTCACATACCTACTCACCGAGTTTACATAACACTACCCATCGACATTATGTATAACTACCATCTTGTGCAGAAATTTCTCCATTTACAGAAACAAAAACTTGACAGGTAGTAAACTCGATGGGTAGTTATGTGAAAACTCGATGGGTAGTTATGTGTTAACTCGGAGGGTAGTTATGTGTTAACTCGGAGGGTAGTTATGTGTAAACTCGATGGGTAGTTATGTCAACTCGACTGGTAGTTATATGTCACTCGTTACGGGTAGTTATGTGTTACTCGGTAGAGTAGGTATGTGACCTCGATGTATTTATGTCCGCCCTGGCGTTCCATACCTTGGTGATTCATCATCAGCATTACCATTATCATTATTAAGAGTATAGCAGAAGGTAGCATAGTAGGGAGAAGTAATACTGTAGTGCAACAGTAAGCGTATAGTAATTGTAGAAACAGCAGCAGTAGAGCAGGAGTAGCGGTAGATGAGTTGAGTAATAGGCAGTTTTCGCCGCACGAAGTTAACCTCAGGGTTGCCAGATAGCCGACAGGCTTCACGGCCAAACACACGCCATCTCACGGCCAAATTCGGCCAAACTTTTTTTTTCGATATTGGCCAAAATTCGGCCAGATTTTAATCCGATTAGAAGACAATAGTGGATACATAATATTCATTTAAAATACAAACATTACACGAAAATCAACTGTCATTTGTTTGAAATTGGAGAAATTAAAATGATATACACAGAAAAATGTTAATCTTTCACTGATTCTAATAATCACCATAATTAAATACCGAGCTAGCTACATCATAATATTAAATATGTTCTATAATTAGTTGCTAGCATGTAGGCCTATTTAAAGTCACGTTATTAAGGTCGATCTAAATTTGATTTAAATGTATTAAATAACATACAATCTAGTCGATCTATAGCAATAATTTTAAGGGCCTGTTATAGAATCTTCAATGACAAATCTCTCTTTAATTAGAATGAAAGTTACATTAGTAAGAACACAAGCCGATGTTAAAACAAACCTATGAAAACTTTAATAGGGCCTAAATACTTTTTATCTAAAACTTCCTAAATTCGCCTCGGAATGATATTGTTGCAGTATACGGTACTTAAAACAATAAATCAATGTCACTATCAGAACTACCTTCTTCATGATTCTCATATACAACCTAATTCCAGAGTAACTTCGAAGAAGTCTCAGCAACACTTGCTTGAAATTGGATTTGACATTGGACACATGTGATCACATCGAGCATTTTATGGCACTTCACATAAAGAAACACTGCAGCGACTATACAATTTATTATATTTTTTTTCAATTCTCAACCAAAACAGATATAAACCTCCACTAGGTTGGAACATAATTATATAAAGAACACTATATAATTATGGTACAAACTTGCAATAAACTGTCTTTGTAAAACTTTAAACGAGGATAAACTTCATAAAAAAAAATATATATTTCATCCGAACATTTTAAATTATTAAATGTAACTGCTAATCTTTTAAATAAACTACTTTACGTCAACTTGGCCAAAAGTGTGAGAGAATACATTAAGCGTTTAGAGCGAGTACGACTACGAACATTCAATGTAAGTAAAGGTACACGATGAGAATCAAAGCTTTTGTACAAACAGGGCCGTAGCCACGAGAATTGAAGTACTGTAGTCAGGTTGCGAACTTAGCGCGAGCACTGATGATTGGGGCTAGGGGGGCGCCAAGGGCCCCAGGTAGGGGTTCAGGGTTCCGGAGCCATTAAACCATTAAACTGTAATATTATTAAACCATTAAACTGTAATATTATTAACATTAAACCATGAAACTGTAATATTATTAAAAGACCAATCAACACATGACAAAACATTTACATATCAAAATTATTATGTTTAACCTTCCCTCGTCGGAGCTTGCATAAAACGTGATTTGGATATAACATGTCTATAATGATATTGATAAACAATCGAAATTCTCTGTACAATATTATGTTAAACATTTACATTAGACTGTAATATTATTATTAAAGAAGTCCAATCAATAAACAACATAAAACATATACATATCAAATTTATTGGTTAAAGTTGTCGGTGCATGCATAAAACGTAATTTCCTAAAATTTGGATATCTGAGATTGACAGACAAAATTCTCTATAGGCCTACTCTATATACTAATTTAACGAGTGAACTTCCTTGATTTCAAGAAATAGGCGTATAGATGTATATTGAGATATGCAAAGTTTAGAAGTTTAAGGAGATGACTTCCTCATGTTGTGTTCATATTGGACTGTAATATCATAAAAAAAACCATTCAAAAAAACACATAACAAATATCAAAATTATGATGTTAAACTTTCTACTTCGGTGCATGAATATAACGTAATTTTGGGATATATGACATTTACATAACATTTGAGAATGTACTGAATATAAAATCTTAAATATTTTACATTTTAATCAGCAATCTATCAGAAATACGGGGATTTGTTATACTGTAAAGCCTTCTGAACCCCTGCAAGACTAAAACTGGGATCCAACAGGCAGTGAATATTCCATTTTGATTTAGTGTAGATGTTTTTTACATATTTTTTATTTTATTTGAATTCTTTTTATTTTGTATGATTCATATGTTACATTTTCTATAGAAAGGTAAATTAATGCCTGAACTGATATTTTACGAGTTTCATATTACTTTCGATACAAAACAAATATCAAAAATCATTGAGCATTGAACATTTGACGACGACGATAATGTCTCCAAATTCCCAACCGTAACTTAGGATAGGGACCTCGCTTGACACTTCACATCAAAGGGCCTGTTAATTAATCTTGCACGGCTTCCTCCTCATCATCATCTTCTTCATCATCATAATTATTAATTGTCCATAGCAAAGTAGGGAAAAACTATGAATTCAGAGTGTATTCAGTAATAGACGTCTCATAATGCACGAAGTGTATTTCAAAGCATCTAGAAAACAAAAACTTTTCGAAGAAGCCGAAGACTCCCCCCACCCCATATCTAAAATTTGTCTTCCAGCGACAAAACAAGCTAGCTCTCTTCTCATGACCCCTCCTACCATGGGAAACAATCTGTGCGATACGGTAGCAGTGGTAAACTCTGGATCTGCGCTTGGCATGTATTTAAGAGAAGTGCTTAAAAATGGTATATTTACAGTAGGCCTATATTTATTTATATAAAATAATGTTGCATACTGTAACTATCAGTAATAAATATACAGATAAAGGCACGTTTTTTGTCTTGGCTTGGTAATTTAGAGAAGAAGTGAATATATGTCCTAGGCAAGTGTATGGAACCTTTAGTCTGATTTTCTGCAAAAGCTCACTATGTGTAGTAATTGACCTACTTGATTTGGATAAAATGTATGCCCACTAAATAGACACTAAATTTCATCATAGAAAAAATGCATCCTAGTTTCTTAATCAGTCATTATAAATTTTACACTAAAGAGAAGAAAGTAATGTAAACATCATTAACGGTTTCTGAGTTATGTCAAAGAGAGAGTAGGTTGAGTCTAAACATATAGGTGTAATTTTGCCCTTTTTACTATTCAAAACCTAATTAACTTGTGGTCTGTCAAAATATGTTCAGATTGAAAACTGACCAACCGTACCGGTGGCTACGTCCCCGACAAAATAACATATCCAAATCAAGTCTATGTTTTATTAGACCTGTATTGAAAAAAATGTAAACGTTTCACAAAATTCGGCCAAATAATAGTTTGGCCGTGACTTTTCAAACGTTACGGCTAGGCGAATTTTTATACGGCCGGATTTGAGGACTCTGGCCGTCAAAAAGGCCAAATGGCAACCCTGGTTAACCTTAACTTTAACGTTAGTACCCAACATGCAGCGCGATATCTCCGCCCTTTTGTAAACGAATCGAAATACGCATGCGCAAACCCATAACTAACGTCGAGCACGTAAAATCCAGAAATTAACGTACTCCGCAACGCAAGATGAATATATTATGACGTCATCCGTTAACGATAAGGTTAACGTCGTGCGGCGAAAACTGCCTAATAATGTCTTTAATACGTATTTACTAACTGATAAATATAAAGAAAGCATAGAACATGTGATACGCCTACTGTGTTATTAATTATTTAATATTTTATTTTGTTAATACTATTATGTTTATGCAGTCAAGCGAAAATGTGGTTTAAGTTTTATATATCGTAGAATTCGTTCAGTGAAAACCTAAATTTATCCAAACGAAACATAAAACTGAGCTTCAAATTACATCAAAATATCACTTCTAAATGTTTTATGAAAATAAAACACCACGCGCCATATCCATTTACCGGCCCCTCCGAAACTTGAACAGTATTTTATCCATACACTTCTCGCCGCCGCCATAACGAATCGATGCTTTCATTATGTTTCTGATATATTTATGGCCTACAGTTTTACATATATGAATTTGTATTTTCCATTTTGATTTTTCACGGATCTTCCCGCTTGCCTCGACTGTGTTA